ATCAGGCTTCAGAAGTGGCTATAGCTGTGCAACAGCAACATTAAAAATAGTGGATGACATAATTAAAGCTCTTGATGCAAGCAAAGTAACAATTTTAATATTACTGGACTACTCGAAAGCATTCGATACCATAAATCACCAAATATTACTTTCCATGTTGCATTACTTTGGATTCAGCGATGCATCAAGTGCGTTAATTTCATCTTATTTGCATAATCGAAAACAAAAGGTCGTCATAAGTGATACATGTTCTAATTGGCAGGAAATAAATTCTGGGGTACCTACCACAAGGCAGCATTTTAGGCCCTCTGTTCTACACCATCTACACTTCCACTTTCACCAAGAGATTGAAATTTTGCAACTACCATTTATACGCAGATGACTCTCAGATATATTTCTCCTTTGACCCCCTAAACCTAGAAGACGCCGTAAATCGTATTAATAGTGACTTGGAAGCAATTCTGAAGGTATCCACAGATCACATGTTGAGAATCAATCCGAAGAAGTCAATTGCCATGATATTTGGAAACGAAAACGTTCGTGAGCAGGCCAATAACTATGAACTCAAAATCGGAGATTCCAGAATAAATTTCAAGACTCACTCTAAAAACTTAGGGCTTGTTATAGACTCCAAGCTTAAGTTCACAGAACATGTAACCTACAAACTCAAAACAGCTTACGCATCTCTGAAATTAATATACCCACAAAGGAAATTTTTGAATACGGAAGTTAAAAAAACATTGTGTGATTCATTAGTTCTGTCCCATTTCAATCATTGCGACGTGGTATATCACAAATGTTTAGATAGCAATGACACAAAGCGCATTCAAAAACTACAAAACTCTTGTATGAGACTTATTTTTGGTATAAGAACTAGGAATAGAATTTCACATAAACTGAAAGATTTGAACTGGCTTAATATGATCAACCGCAGACGTCTCCATACAGCTTGTACTTTCTTTAAAATAGTCAAGTTTAAGACTCCTCCCTACTTACATGAACATTTGAGTTATAGAACGGACGTTCACAATTTGAATCTGAGAAGGAAATTACTATTGAGTGTCCCTACTCACAAAAAAGAAGTGTATAAGCGCTCGTTCTCCTATAATATTTCTGACACATTAAATTATATTAATATTTGGAATCCTAATTGGTTTGACCTATCGATCGATAATTTCAAATACAAATTTAAAAAACATTTAATACAGTCTCAAAATGTCCCTGAATGACCGCTATGAAACATTCGCATTGAGATCGTGATTATTGTTTATCAGCTCATCGCTCGCATGCTCTATTTCCAATTCTTTTTCTCTCCATCTCTCTTTTTTCTCTTTTCCTCCTCTCTTTCTCGTGCTCTTTCACCCTATTCAGCTTTATTTTTCAGTTTACGTCTTTGGTGGAACACCAGATGCGACTTGATCGCAATCTGAACCAAAAGCCCTTTGTTCACCATATGTATATATATTGTATTTAGTTTTACTTTCTCCAATGTGAACATATTTGGTGTCCAATAAATGTATTATTATTATTATTATTATATTATTAATTAATAATGATTTAGCAATAACATATTTTTTTCGCCTTCCTGATGCAAGTATTTCCACGTGAGTACAACCTTCTTATCTATGGTTCTCCATTTTGTTTTTCAGAATTTTGATTTGATAAAAATTTTGGTTTTCACTTTTATTCTCAATTATTGATCAATTATCATTGTATACTCATGAAAATCACTGTTGCTCTTTGATCTAACTGAAATTTGTTAATCAATTCAATTTGAATTTACAATTGCTGTCTTTTCCATTTTCAATTTTTCTTATATATAGATGCACTTTGTTATATTCTTTTGACTGAAGATGGCCATTTGAATGGCCGAAACATGTATCAACCTTAATGAAGCAGGATTGACTGCCAGATTATACATTAAATATTGTGGAGACGACTTTGGGTTTTTTTCTCTATTGATATGGATATTATTTCAATATACGTGTAGTAAGGACAAATCAGATTATTTGCCCCGGAATGTCACTGCGTTTGAAGAATTGACAAAAGTTTGGAGAAGAGAAATAAAGGTGAATAGGAAAATATCAAATCTGCACTTATCTTTGGACGTTTCGGGACCGATTCTGCTCCCGTTTTCAACCTAGGAAAAGATTATTTTAATAGCAAAGTCGTATACAGGGTGGGCCACCAGTAACGCCTCGGTCTCTAGAAGGCTAACCACTTATCTTCTTGGAATTCTTCCTCTCTAGGAAGTTGCATGTCAACATAGGCTACCATTTGAAATTATTTTGAAACATACAGGATGTCCCCAAAAATCACAAAACACTGAAGTTGAACTTTTTTCTATCGAACACCCTATATATTATTTCATTCTCCCTGATGAGCTGATTTCAACGACCCATCATACTTGGGGTCTAGCAGTTATAATTACTGAAATATAGGGTGTGAAAAATCGAGATTTTCCAAGTTCAAGAATTTTTTGTGTCGAAACTATTCATAATTGGTCAAAACGGCTAACATGTCCCTATCTCAACTTTTGATTAACAATCTACTGATATTTAATTGGGACATATATACCGGTTGATCAAGATTCTGAATCCTGCACCACCCTGTATTTGTTTCAATTAAATGTCGGTAGATAGTTGATCAAAGTTGGGATAGGGACATGTGAGCCGTTTTGACCAATTATGAATGGTTTAGACACAAAAAATTCTTGAACTTGGAAAATCTCGATTTCTCACACCCTATCTCTCAGTAATTATAACTGCTGGACCCCAAGTATGATGGATTGTTGAAATCAGCTCACCAGGCAGAATCTCAAAATGAAATGATATATAGGGTGTTCGATTGAAAAAAGTTCAACTTCAGTGTTTTGTGATTTTTCGGGATATCCTGTATGTTTCAAAATAATTTCAAATGGTAGCCTATGTTGACATGCAACTTCCTAGATAAGAAGAATTCCAAGAAGATAAGTGGTTAGCCTTCTAGAGACCGAGGCGTTACTGGTGGCCCACCCTATACGACTTTGCTATTAAAATAATCTTTTCTTATGTTGAAAACGGGAGCATAATCGGTTCCAAAACGTACAAAGATAAGTGAAAATTTGATATATCTTTATCTACCTTCATTTGTCTTCTAACTTTTTTCAATACAAATTGTCACTGAAAAGCTAGTGAATAGGCTCTCTGATAGGAAAATTCTTCAAACGCAGTGACATTTTGGGGCAAATCATCTGATTTGTCCTTACTACACGTATATTGAGATAATATTCATATTTTTATTTCATAGAAACGAGGAGAGAAAATCTCAAAAAATTGGAATAATGAATGTACCACCTCCTCGATTAACCTACATTCACCAGATGATGTTTTTTTGAAATTTCCTTGAAACCGCTAATTGAAATCAACTCAATTGGGTCACGCTACATTGTGATCAGTTTGGATAGTGATGTGATAGTATACAGGGTGTATCAAAATAACATCGAAACAATTCAAGGGGTGATTCCTTGTGATATTCTAGCAAATAAAGTTCACATAAACATGTATGCTAACTCGATCCGTTTTTGAGATACAGGATGTTGAAGTTGGTAGTATCAATTGTTTTTATTTATAACCTCCCTGTATGAGCTTTCATGGCGAAAAAAAATTATAATGGTTGGAGACTGAGGAAGCTCTAAAATTTCAAAATGGTTGTGATTGGGGTTATTGAGTAATCTCAATGGAAGTCGTGAAAACACCTACAATAAAATTTGGAGTCAAATCGAATTCTTATTGTTTCCTCAGAAAATAAGCTAGATACTCAAATCACACGAAGGCCAAAAACAAAGTTATTATTTCAATCAAAATATGGAACTCAGAAAACCTCGTGGCGTACAATGACATTCACCATAAATATCGATGCTACTAGAAATAATATTTCGAATCTAATTGCATCAGAAGAGGCTCCATATTACTTTCAACAAAGTCACAACGACTTCTTCAAATTGGTGCATAGACAATTGAGTACCTAATATATAAAAAATCTATTTTTCATGGAAATATTGATATCCAGTATATCAAAAACGAAGCAAGTTGGAACACATGTTCATATGAGCTTCATTTCCTGAAATATCACAAGAATTGCCTCTTGGATCTTTTTGGTGCTATTCAGATTCACCCTGTATAACTGAAATGACTCATTTCCATATTATATCAACGGTGTTACAAGCACACGGATATTAAAAGTGCTTCGTGTTAAATCGTTGTTAAATGGGTTGAATTGAACGCCAGAATTTGAAATTTTCCTAAAAGCACACAACGTCCTAGGGACGTCCCAATTTGGTACAATTCAAGTCCGAATGTCCTGGGCCAAACATAAGTGTCCTTGGGACGTCCTATCCCGTAAATCTCATGCAATGTCCGAGCAAAGACGTCCACGGAATGTCCCACCTGGTACATCATTTCAAATGTCCTAGAAATAGCATCCCTTAGACGTTCCACGTGGTATATATTGTAGAATGTCCATGCAAGGACGTCCTCGGCCTGTTCCTGATGGGATATGATTTCAAACGTTCCTTTAGGGACATTCATCGGATGTACTGGGTAGTACATATTCTGGCATGTCTTCAGATCTTATAAAATGTCCCTTCTAGACAACCATGAAATGTCCCTGATAGTACATTCCTTCAAATATCTCTGCACAGACGCCCTTAATATTTCCAGGATCATATAACCATCGAAATGTCCCTTAGGGACATCCTTCGAATGTCCCTCAGGGATATCCGTCCGATGTCCCAATTGAAACATAAACTGTACTTATCCAATGTCCGAGAAATAACCTCCTACAGACATCCCAGTCGCTATTTCCAATATGTTGTCCCTGCGAGGACGTTAAGTTACACCTCGCCGACGAATGATTGAATTCGTTCAACAAATAATTGAATATATAATGTTTCTATACCTATATGAGTGCCATTCATATTCCTCAAAGACGAAAATTATTCTTGATATCGTTTCTTTCAGGTACCTCGAGAGCAGGATAGCATTGAGCTTTCGCTCCCGCCTAGTGGACCATTCATACCGCCTCTACTTCCACAACCAGAGCTACTACAGAGTAACTGTTCTAGATGGACGACTGGACAATTGTTCCCAACGGTTGACAGATGACATTGAAACAGTCGCCAACACGGTGAGTACATTCGTTCCGATCATCCTCCTACCTAGTTCAGTAAAACGGTAACAATTTGGACAGAATCCGGAAAACAGCGATTTTGCCCGTAACTCGGAAATCATACATTATATGGAATAGACCACCCAATAAAAAGTTGAAGTAGATTAAATCTAGATGAAATTGTTCTTGCTCATGGATGTACGACTGAAGGGTGCGGAGCGAATAGCGTTTCTCGTCGGTTTTCGCAGATAGTTCATATTTTACGTATTACTCAGAGACAGAGCATCACGCACATATTGAAAGAGCATCAAATTTTCTATCGGACTCACATAAATTTCGTCATTATGGAAAAAGATGAACGGCTGTTAGAGCACTCGGACTTGGGGATTTTTAGACCCCAAATAATTTTAAAACCCTTACGAACCATGTTATCAATTATATAGTTTCCTTTCTCCTCCTACCTAGCAAGGTATATCACCCATTTTCCAATAGCGATGGAACTTCTTTCATTCATAAGTTTTTTGTATATTAGCCTGATGATGACTCCTAGGAGTCGAAACATGTAGCACGTATTATTTTATTAAAATTTACTTGGAGCGAGACTTTGAGTTTGTTCTCTTAATTATCTCATCACCTCCAATTTGAGCATGGACTACTACCAGAGATTTACCTTTGTTTATGTAATGTACAAGTCCGCCAAAGACCGACTACCCTAGAACAGGTCTAGATAACGTCTGATGAGGCGAAAAATTCAAGGGTCAGGAAAATATTGAGCTTCATAAGAAGTCTAGGGTTATAGCAAGCAAATAATCAGATGAGGGTGAAACTATAATCTGAAATCTAATCGTCAATACATCGGATGTTGGTGCAGGTGGAGCAAATCGTGCTAGGAAATTTGATTTTTCCACTCCGATAACGAATAACAAGAGGCAGGTAAGAAAAACAATATTCTTCCTAGTTGATCTACATATACTTAAGTATAGTGACATGTCGAGAGATATGAGTTACATGCTGACAGAGATAGGAATTCACATGGCTAGGACTCTTCCACACCAGGTGGGCTATTCTCGAACCGTTCGAATTCAATTCGTTTACGAATGAAGAAAGATGCACTTAGGTATGTGACGAATGTCGAAATGAAATAGGAGATCGAATTCGTATTCGAATAACGCTCGAGAATAGACCCCCAGACAGTATAGTTCGTTTCTTCGAGGAATTCGTAAATCTGGAATTATCTGCGAAAACCGACGCAACGCTATTTTTTCAAAAGTATGCAGATTTGGTCAATTTTCAATTGGCTCTATATCTGCACTCGTTAGTCCCACATTCATGAGCAATCACAATTATATTCAAGAAATGTCGTCTCCTTCAACTTTTTTTAAGGCGATCTTTTCGATATAACGTATGATTTTCGAATAACGGACAAAAATCCGAAAAAAGTACGAGAATGTTGCTGATTTTTGCGAATATCTAGAAACGCTCCAGGAAATTTTGTTTGCAGAATTCAGATTCGAATTCAGCACCTCCAAAACCATGTGAAATCATATAGAAAACGACTACTTGAACTTTTTCCAAGTGAAAATACCATTTGATTGGACTCACCCTCTTGGACATTTGATTGACTTCATATACAGTCTGTCCAAGAAAAGGTTGCACAGCATGGGGATCTCGACAACGGTAGGAGATACAAAGTCGGTTAAATGGGGAAGAAGTTGCGCATTCGGAGGCTCATACCAACAGCCTTCGAAAATTTCGAAATTGTTTTTAGTTTTTCAGTTATGTCGAAAAAAGTGAATTCTTGGAATATCTATTTTTTTTCTCCGTTATTATTAGGGATACAGAAAAACTGAAAATACATTTTCATAATAACTTTCGATTACGTTCAACGTGGTGATACCAATTTCTTTATGCAACGTTTCGTATTCGTAGAACCATCATTAACTATTGTTTTTTTAAATACGGTCCTCATATTTTTTTCACATATCCCGAAAGCTTTTTTTATCCTGAATTCAACCATGTTTTATACATATTCGAATGTGTTTTGACCAATTTCTATCCATCATCAATGTTTTTTCGGAATTCCAAAGGAAAAGTGCCATCAAATACACTTGTTTCTGATCACTTAGTGTCAAACATTGATGTATTATCGCGCTTCAAATTGTTTATTGAATTCTCACACGAATTACTCTAATAACTCAACTTTGACAATACCAACAAAAACAATAATAACAAATTTTCAATATGATAACCATTATTCTTCAAACAAAGAGATCCTCTTGTCACAGTTGCTTCTCACAGACATTACTGAGCATTTCTGGGGTTATACTATTGAATGCTTCGATGACACTGTCCCGCAGTTTCTCTTCATAATCAAAGTTATTGCGTTAACAAAAATTTTGATACATCCCCAAAGAAAAATCCACCGGTGTTAAATCAGGTGACCGCGCCGGCCAAGGGACCGTAGAAGGAGTACCAATCCATTTTTCTGTATAAAAACGCACGAGCTTCTCTGGAATTATGTACCGGAGCGTCATCTTGTTGAAACCAACACTTCCGCCATCGGTATATCATCCAAAGCTTCCTCAAGATGTATCTCAAGCAAATTTCAATAACGTTTGGGAGTCAATGTTCCATGGTAAATAGAAGGAACAAATATTGCAACCCACATATTAAAGCCGAAACGGTGTTGGTGTCTCGCTGTTTTGTATAAATGTTCATTTTCTTGTGCCCAATAATGTGTATTTTTTCTATTGAAGATACCATTATAAGTGACCATGCCTTCATCAGTCCAGATGATTTTTTTAGAAAAATCTCCAAAATTTTGACATTTCCTGGTATACCACTCACAGAATGTCCTGCACCTTTCGTCGTCGCCTGGTCTTAGCGCTTGACATATTCTGAATTTGCATGGATGGAGTTTTTGTTTCCTCAAAATAAAATGGGTTGTTGATGGGAATCAGTTGATCAGGTATTGATGTGTTGACTAATTTTCTTTCAGAATAAGTGGAACTGATGGCATTTTTCCTTTGGAATTTCTGAAAAACATGTCTAAAAATAGGTCGAAACACAATCAAACCACCTTGTATACTGCATGGTTGAATTCAGAATTAAAAAACCTCCCAGAATCTGTGAAGAAATTATCAGGACTGTATTTGAAAAACAAAAGTTGTGAAGGTTCTACGAATAAGAAACGTCGCATGAACGAATCAGAATCACCACGTTAAACGTCATCAAAAGTTGTGATGAAAATGTAATTCAGAGTTTTCTGTATCTCTAATAATAACGGAGAAAAATAATTGAATAGATACTCAAGAAATTTACTTCTTTCGAAACTAAAAACATTTTTGAAAATTTCCGAAGGCTGTTGATATGAGCCTCAAAATGCGCAAATTCTTCCCCATTTAACCGACTTCGTATTTCCTACCGTTTTCGAGATCCCCATGCTGTGCAACCTTATCGTGGACAGACTGTATACCCAGACAGCACACGACGTCCCGAGGACGTACATATTTCGTCCGATTCTAGACCGTATATCCGGGAACATAATATGGACGTCCTCAAAACGTACCATCCCCTACGTCTTCGGGACGTACAGAGCGTACGTTTTCAGGACATCCATTTTTAGTTTCACATTTTTTTATATTCATCATTCTCTTCATATCCATTATATTTCTCGATGATGATAAAACATCAATTGTCAAATGTGATCAAATTTAGTAGTAATAAGGCCCCTTTGGTGTTGGCTGCCGATCATCTGCCGATTCATTTGATAATAGGTTACAATGAATCAAGTGACTTTTCAGTGACCAATGTGGGGAAATTGAAGTGAATCTTGCCATGTTGGCATATTATCATCCTGGATAATATATATCCACACTTTACCGGATGCCGATTTCGAAGGATATAAAGATGAATTTATATGCACATTCTACGTCTTGTCCTATATCTTACTTGCATGTTCTGAACAGAAGTAAGCCTGATATTTCAGAAAGTGTTGTGTAGAGTAATGGTTAGAACATCTGCCTGGTAATCTAAAGGTCGCGGAATCGATCCACGGTAGGGAAGGATTTTTTTCATTTTGTATTCAAAATCAGATCATTCTCTACTCAGTCTAGATTTATTTTTCATCTATCTAAGCAAGAAAAGGCGAATCTACGTTGATTATGGTATTGATGGCGATGAAATACCAAACTTGGCCCTGGGACGTTCTATCTTGTAACATCGGACGTCCCAGTACGTCCTATGGACGTCTCTCGACCGACACTGAACGTCTTCAGGGTGTCTTGTACGTCCCAGATGTACGTCCTCTGGACGTAGACAGGACGTCTTCGTGTTATTTGGGTAGTAGTACAGTGCCCTTCGTGAATCGATTGTCAGCTGGCCTAGTGCACCTGATGAGGCTTGGCAAAGCTAAAACAGGCTGTCTTGCACCGGCTGATGATCGATTCACGAAATTTACCTAAAATCTCCTACTCTTGAGATTTTTGTTTCTTCACCATCTGTCGGTGAGACATTAAACCACTGTAAGAACTCCGGTGTTGCGATAGTCTACAGAATTGTGGCATTTTTGCCTTTCTGTGATATGGACGTAGGAGTCCATATTCGACGTACTCGGAAGGTATGGTTGTTTAAACAATCTACTTATACATCTTTGCACTTTTGCCACTAGATGGCTCTTAGGACTAGATCATCCTCTTACCCTCTGGGGCATTTGATTGAACTGCAAGAGTAATAGAGGAACAAACTACAAACATGAAGAATCCGTATACAGGGTGAGTCATGACTAACCATCCATAGCCTAATGGTGGATAAAGGAAGTCAAGGTGAGTTGATATATATGTAAAAATATATTCTGCCGATTTCTCACAGTGATACAGGGCATAATTTGAATTCGAGACGAAACTTTGATGAACGATATTCTAGGAACGTCTTGATGTTTTCACCTGAAATCCACCAGCAATTCACCTCTACTGACACACCACACGATGGCCTACTATGGAAAATGAATTCCAGAGCCGGACTTAGAAAACTCATTTTGTTTTTAATCGTCAAAATTTCGACTTTTCGAATCGTATTTGTCAAAAATTTTCAAGTGTAGCTCCTCAATTTGTTTGGCACATTTCGAACGGATTGGTGAAAAAATATCAAACAAAATTGAGACGAATATTTTTTCGATTTCGTCCGGGCCATTACTCTCTACATTCGAATCCGTTTTTTGAATATTGATTCAGCAGCAGAGTTAAAGGAATAGTATTGTCACGAGTGGCTGTAACGCCCACTATCGCAACTCGAACCTACTCGCTTGCAAGAGGTTTTTTGAAAATGATAACTGAATAAAAAAAAATAGGAACATCATTAAATACCCCTATAGTTGAATGACCGATGATTCTATCAATCACTTTGCGCCTATATTTGAAATCTGAAAAAATATTTGAGGTCATTCTGTTTCGATTTGGAATTGATGTGGAGTATCTCGCTGTTGATCAAATTGCAACACATAAAAACTTACTTCACCTGAAATCAGGTTAATTAGGAAGAATTAACATTCAAGAAAGAGCACGGCGCCTCCACCATAATGTCACGAGTGGCTCTAACGCCCACTATCGCAACCCGAACTTACTCGCTTGCAAGAGGTTTTTTTGAAAATGATTACTAAATAATTTGACTCCACTCCACGAGTTTATTCATTTTGAATAAAAACAATTAGGGCATGAAATAAATTGACCATTAATTATCCAGCAAGATACATCCAACTCAAATCGGAACGAAACAGGAAAACTAAAACTAGTAATACTCAAAAAAGGTACTTACAGAAGGGCTCGCTTTTCGTTGGAGGATTGGAACTGCCACTCACGAAGTTTAAACATTATGCAAATAAGTTTGAGATTTACTTCTATTAGAAGATTTGAAAAGACTTTACGGTCCACTGTCCGAACCACAACTGCCGGTTTTTTCTCTAATACTTTTTCATCTTGGTTTTGGTAGTGGTAATTGATTCAGCATAAAAACTAGTGTATTCACCTCGATTAGGAAAAATCCAAAACCAGCAGTTTCTGCCCGTCAGCGACTTTACTTGAATAATAATAAAATTGAAATCCGAACTATAATTACCTTTGAATATCGTGATTCTTTACTGATATCCTGTAAGCTAAATAATTCTAAGAATATGATCTAGCCCAGGTTATTGTACTGTTCTTGAATGAAATGAGAATTTCAAATATTCTCGATAAAATTATAGTTTTTATCCATTCTTGACAGTATTATTAGAGAAATATCAGGCCCGGACTCGGTTTTGGAAAGAATTACAGAACAATATAATTTTCGAGAAGGATTCGTCTGTAAATACTACTATTTTTCAACGACATTCTCAGAATGTCTTCTTCAATTTCTATACATTTTCTGCATATCTTCGGAAGATCTCTTATGGTTTTTCGAATAATTTGCTTATTATTTCTGATCATGTCTTAATCTGTATCTATCCTCGTCCTCAGTTCCTCTCTGGTGTTTACTTCATTCTGATATACCAATAGTTTCATGGATAGATAGATAAAAATCTAATACTGTGAGATTAGGAGACCTAGGTGGCCGGTGGCCAAGAATGAGGGCTGCCACTGTTTGTCTAGGTATTCTCTCACAATTTGATTCGCTGATTGTAGTATAAGTTGGCACGTATATCTGATTCGGAAATAGTAATTTTCCTAACAAGTGAGGAAAGTGATTCTTTCCTGCACGCGACTGCCGTTGACACGAACGACGCGAAGTGGAGTTCGGGCAAGCAGTCGTATCTCCTACCGTTTCTGAGATCCCCATGCTGTGCAACCTTATCTTGGACAGACTGTATATCAACTCACCTTGACTTCCTCTATGTAGCATTAGGCTATGGCTGGTTAGTCATGACTCACCCTGTATATCCGTCAATTTGACACCCTGGACCCATTTGAACTTTGTACTACGCATGAATAATGTCTCCTACAATTTAGATTTTTTTTGTTCCAGGTGTCTCACCTCTACAGCCAAATCACGAAGCCCTGCTTCGACATCCTCCTCATGGCTATTGCCCTAGCGAACCTCGTCAAATCCCGAAACTCAAACCTCATAGTGGGTCCCGTGATCATCAGCGGCGTAGTGGTGATTTCGGCTCTTATCCTTCGGCTGGTGTCGCCCAAGTTCGGGCAGCTGGTAAGTGAGTTATTAATGAATTTTTTTCTGTGACGGGATAAAAGTTTGGCATTTCATCTCTGTTGGCAGGTTATAAAATGTCACTTTCCATAAATAACTTTTTTCCCGTGGAAACAAGTGAGTAAGTGCTTTTTTCCTGGATATATATCACATATATATACACCGTTGATGGCTTTTGTTGTGCTATAGTTCCGAAAAATGAGTCAATAATACCGTCTCGGAGAGAGAACTGCAAGTCCATTTATCTTCCATTCGACTCCGCGGTTACATATATTACTGAACAACCACTAATTTCGCAATTTTTTTAAATGAAATAATGTAATATTTTCTCGATATTGATTCGTCCTTCCTTTTGTCACAGAAAAAAATAGTGTACTATTATACACGGGAAAAATATTAGATTTCAGCTCACGGTTTTTTTTCCTTGTATAATAAATAACTATTTATACACAGGGTTATTTTATTTATATCTAATGAAACCAATAAGAACGTTCTCTTGAGTTATGTTACCTTATATAATTTCGAATAAACGTGTCTGTAAGGAAGATCCTACGATTTAGAAGTAGAAGATCTTGAACTGACTGAATATGGTAGGGATGGAGTAGTTCCTTTGTAACTCTATTGATGTTACTTGATGATCCTACTCCAAGAACTAAACGTCTTGTGCTCAATATTGGTGATTTTGTCTGAAATGTTTTCTTCAACTGCGAGAGTTCGTCTGAAGCGTCAAAGTCTATTATCAAATTGTGTAGGTGCGAAACGAACATTTTGGCGAAGGCGTTTCTCAACATCAGTGTAGTTTTGGTGGATTGTTTGTTTGTTTTGGGAATGTTTGGGAATGTATCTGCAATTGAGCATCTTACCTATAATATTTCAAAGGGGTTGGAATGTGTGTTACAATAGTTATTTACCTAACAAGGACAGAAAAGACATTTTCCGCAAGAGTTAGGTACAAAGTTCTTCCTACGAGTGCTTTTGTCCATATTACACTCAGCTCCAAAAAAAGTGACGCACTTGATATTTGACCCATCTTCATAAGAAAAAAAAAACAAAAAATAGTAGGCCGATTTTTTTTTATTTGTTGGTAGGTAATGCATTTGTCTTAAAAAAAAATAAAGAGGTGAAAATGTTTTCAAAGCCTCCTTGATGGTGGTGGAATAACTCGAACCATGATTTGTTCTTAAAAATCGGCCTACTATTTTTTTTTAAATATCAAGTGCGTCACTTTTTTCAGAACTGAGTGTATTTATGAAAAAAAAAAAGGTTTTCAAAAAACAATATTTTATAATGATGCCACAAAATGACACACAAGACAGAATACTTACATGGATCATTCAGTTAGGCTTGAATATCCTTATTTCCAACAATACAAGAATCGTGCGGAAATGTAACTCTTCCGCACGATATTTTCATGCACTGAAAAATAATAAAATATAGATTTTTTTCATCGATTTAATAGGAAAACATTAACGGTTGTAGATATTTAAATTGAAAGTACAATTTGTGTTTCTTGCATGCTGTTATACAGGGTGAGTCAATAGTGTGTTCTCCTTCGGTATTAGCCAAACCGTCAGGTATATAAAAAAATTCGAATAGAACGGTTATAGAATTTTATGAGGCTATCACCTAGAATCATTTTCATATCTATAGGATGTTCAAATTCCAAGATATCGGCTGATGGTGGGTATTTTTAAATGGGACACCCTGTATATCATTGCATTTTCATATTCTTCCTGAAGAGCTGATTTCATCAATGCATTTTTTTACGCTTGGAGCGCACGAAAGAAAATTCCTATAATGTTCAAAGAACATCGTGAGTTCCTAGGAAGGATAGGGACAGGAGGTAGGTCTTGGAATTTTTTTGAACTTCTGGAGATTGTATGTTGTTGGAAATACTTCCTCAGGCAATGAATTCCAGAGCCTAGCCGTTCTATGGATGAAGGAGTTTTGATAAAGTGCTGTTCGACATCTTTCGAGGTTGACAACGAAAGGATGTGCTGACTGGGCTTGTCTAGTTCGTCTGTGAAGGGATGTTAGCAGAGATTTCCGAAGAACATTTCCCGTGAAAGTATCGATAAAAAAGTGAAAGGTCGCCGACCTTCCTACGGTGTTCCAATGATGTCAAAGAGTGAGTGAGTGTGGCGTCACCCTCCAGGCGAATGGCTCTTCTCTGGATGGAATCTAAGAGCATCAGCGTATGTTTTGGTGCTGAACCCCATATGTGGAAACAATTTTCTAGAACAGGCCGTATCTGCGCTTTGTAGATCATGAGAAGCTGTTGAGGTGTAAAGTAGCTTTTCGCGCGGAACAAGAATCCGAGTTTTTGTGAAGCAGCTTTTGCGATGGAGCCGACATGATTATCCCATGAAAGAGTGTTGCTGATGGAAATACCGAGCATTGATATGGTGGGCTTTGTGGGGATGGTGGTGCCAGACATTGCAATATCGGGCATACTGAGTTTCGCCTTTCTAGAGAAAATACAGGCTTGAGTTTTGGTGGAGTTGAATTCAACTAGGTTGATGGTTCCCCAGGCTGTGATTTCAGCAAGGTCTTCATTGACAGCATTGACCTGCCTGCGCCGTGAGTTCTTAGTTTCCTGGGAAGATATGGGAATTCTGGAAGAGAACGCAGTATGGAGGGTACTATCATCTGCAAAGCTGTGGATGGGGCATGTTGTTACTCCCAACAGGTCATTGATATTAAGAAGGAATAATGTTGGTGCCAAAATTGATCCTTGTGGAACGCCGGAATTGATGCCAATGGTATCAGAAGATGCACCGTCCACCACCACGTGAAGCGATCTGCCTGAAAGAAAACTGATAAGAGATGGCATAGCTGAGGTGGTAAGCCGTATGATGGTAGTTTGTGGAGGAGTCCTTCGTGCCAAACACGGTCGAATGCTTTCGATATGTCCAACGCGACAGCTAGAGATTCCCCGTGTTTTTTTAATGAAGCTTGCCATAAATGGGTGACGTAGGCAAGTAGATCTCCAGTAGATCTTTGGTGGCGAAAGCCGTATTGTCTATCATTGATGATTCCTGAGCTCTCCAGATATTTAGTAAGCTCAATATTGATGGCTTTCTCCATCACTTTGGAGATTACTGATGAAAGGGCAATGGGCCTGTAGTTGTTGGGAAGGTTCTTGTTCCCTTTTCTGGGGATTGGTTGGACTCTAGCTGTCTTCCAGCATGATGGAAAAATACCCGACCTGTACACTTGGAGTCTACCGGAAATGATTACAGAAATACAGGGTGTTGAAAATCGAGATTTTTTGACTTCAGAATTTTTGTTTTGGCCGAAACTATTCATTATTGGTTATAACGGTTCACATGTCCCCATCTCAAAGTTTGATTTACTTCCTACTGAAATTGTATTGGAATAGATACAAGGTGATCAGAAATGTTTGATTTTGAACCACCCTGTATTTGTTCCAATTGAGTGTCAGTAGATGGTGAATCAAAAATCGAGATAGGGACATGTAAGCCGTTACTAAACAGAAGTGAGTAGAAAATAAAGAGTGGTTTGAAAAAATTAAGAGGTATAGAGTACCAAACTTAAAAGAAGTGGAAAATAGATAGAGTATTAGTTTGAAAAACTGAAGAATCCTGCTTTTATTGATTGACAAACTGGAAAAAAGTAGAAATAAAATAATGAAAGTTTTCTGATGAATATTTATGTGAGAACATTTTTTCGAGAAATAATGTTATGGCAGAACAACGTTTGCCGAGTTAGCTAGTATTTTATACAGGGCTTTCATTTCAAAACTTACCACCCTGCATATCTTCTGATCTGCGAAGATTGAAATTTTTGGAAAAAAACAGGTCGATTTAGATATCGAGGGGGAAGTAAAATAACAGTATCAATTGGATGAATACCACTCTGAAAAATTGCATTCCTTCTTAGACACGATTCGTCAAGATGAATTATTCTAGTTGGTTTTGAAAGAAACTAGTAGGGTATGCCATTCTCAGCTGGATGAAGCACCAACACATTCTGTTCTGATTGACAGACAAGATGTCATTGTTCACTGAAACCATATATACAGAGTAAATCTTTGATATCTGGCATCAACATTTCACAAGTACGGTACTAGATTTTTTTCAATTCTGTATACGTTAGTCTATTGGTGTTGAAGTGCATAATGTTCCATGAAAAAATGAAATGAATGAAACAAGCTGTAAAGTTATGACGAAAATATAATTTTCTGCCCAATCCTATGGATCACTCTGTATATTATTGTAGAAGAGGAGAAAACATTTTGGATGGCCATGCGGTATTTCCCCCAGGGGCATCTGTTCGTGGCAGGAGTATGTTCAGTTCCTCATGACCCATCCTGTAAGCTTAATACATTATTTCTCACCTGGTGGGTTTCTTACCCCAATAAACCTATCAGAATCACTTCAATATTTCGAATTTGCAATAGTACTATAATTTGTTACTGATTTAGTTCTAAATTTATCATCATATTCGCAAATTTATTACTCTTCATTAAACAAAAAAAACCAACGGCTCTGCTAGCTTTATGTCAACCTAGCAGAACCATAGCTGAAAATTTAAGATTTTGAAAATTTTAAATATACCATAATTTATAACTATTTTATTACTATCTTATAACTATAATCACGAATTTTCTACTCATCATTTCAAGGAAAAAAACGACGATTTGTCTATCTCGATCTCAACCTAGCAGAACCAAAACTCAAATCACATGTTTTTTGAAATTCTGTTGTTTCATCGATAAATTACTAATTTATCACTAATTTATTACCACATTCGCAAATTTCTAACTCTTCATTCAACAAGGAAAACCAACGGCTCTGCTAGCTTTCTGTCAACCTAGCAGAGCCATAGCTAAACAATTATAAATTTGAAAACTTCAAATATACCATAATTTATTACTATTTTATTACTAACTATGGCTATGGCTCTGCTAGGTTGACAGAAAGCTAGCAGAGCCGTTGGTTTTCCTTGTTAAATGAAGTGTTAAAAATTTGCGAATGTGGTAATAAACCAGTAATAAATTAGTAACTTATCGATGAAACAACAGAATTTCAAAAAACATGTGATTTGAGTTTTGGTCGAGGGGTAGACAACTCGTTGAGACTGGTGTACACTGGATAAGTGAGTAGCTGTTGATTACATTTGAGTAATTTCCAGACTTCTTGAGACTCTTGAGTATTTGATTATGTTGAATACTATTTGAGACATTTTGCGAGGGATTTGAGACTTTTTGAGACATTTTGATTACATTTGAGACGCTCTTCATCACAATTGAGTCTATTTGATTACATCTGAGACGATTTTATTACATTTGAGACGATTCGATTACTTTTGAGACAATTTGCTTACATTTGAAACGGACTGCATTTGAGACTTGTTGATTACATCTGAGATGGTGTACATTCAATTTTGAGTATTCGATTACATTTGATTATATATAGGTTGAGTACAGTCGTTTTTTTCCTTGAAATGATGAGTAAAAAATTCGTGATTATAGCTATAAGTTAGTAATAAAATAGTTATAAATTATGGTATATGTAAAATTTTCAAAATATTAAATTTTCAGCTATGGTTCTGCTAGGTTGACATGAGGCTAACAGAGCCGTTGGTTTTTTTTGTTCAATGAAGAGTAATAAATTTGCGAATATGATAATAAATCAGTACTAAATCAGTAAAAAATTATAGTACTATTGCAAATCCGGAATATCGAAGTGGTTTTGCTAAGTTTATTGGGGTTGATTTCTTTATTGATAGACCTTCAATTTCATTTATTTCGAATTAAGGAGTGTCATTAGAAATGTCAAAGTAGATGTGTCTGGGGGTGAAGGGGATGAACATATTATCCAATTGATACTGGCATTTTACTTCCCCCTCGATATCTAAATCTAACTGTTTTTTCCGAAAACTTCAATCTTCGCAAATCAAAAGATATGCAGGGTGGTAAGTTTTGAATATAATAATAATAATGCATTTATTCATTTACAGAAATACAATGGATATGCCTAAATGATAGAAAATGTAGTAAATAAATAGCAATACTCAATAAGTGATGAATCACTTGTTTCGAGAAGTTGATTTATATACTTGAATATAATATATTCAAAACAATTTAAAATATCTAAATAATAATTTTAATTTAAATTTAAAATGTGTGTCTTAAACACAAACACAAGCGATTTAAAAGCTTATAATGCAAAAAAGCAAACATAAGTTTTGAAATGAAAGCTCTGTATAATTTTATCTGTATGGTCGTGTAGGTGATTGAAATTCTGATAGTTGATTGTTCACTCTCTAGGTGGCGCAAGAGGCCGAAAAAAAGGGCTATCTGAGGCACGTGCACGCACGTATCGTGAGCAACTCGGAGGAGATCGCCTTCTACGGCGGGCACAAAGTGGAGCAGAGCCATCTGCGGCAAGCTTACCGGTTGCTGGGAGAGCACTTGGAGCACATGTTCGGAGTCAGGTTGTGGTTCGTTATGTTGGAGCAGTTCTTGATGAAATATGTTTGGTCGGGTACAGGTGAGTTGTTGTTCAATAGGAATAGGTACTGCCTAATGGAACATCGATATACCGGGTGGCTACGGAAGTATTGCCTACGGAATATCTCAGTTATTGTATGAAGTAGGTTTGTGAGATTTGGAGCGTCGATATAATGACATAAGAGCTAGAATTTGAGCATATTGACATGTCGAAGTTAACTTCCGGTCTGACCGGAAGTAACATCAACTTTCTTATTTTGAATGGAAACCCTATTTTTTTTCTTTTCGCTTCATTCAGCATTCAATTCCCTTTCTGATGACATATCACAAGTTGGTATCTAACTAGAAACTAGATCAGAAAAAAATTATTATTGAAATTCACCGAGTAGGCCGTGGAAGCAAAATGAAAGCCAAAAATTGAAAAGTTGGCTATGGAAACCATACGTCACTTGATAACAGTTGCTACTACTGTGATATTTTATTTTCATTCGTCGGTGTTATAAAAAGCCGCAAAAAAAATATTGGAAAAATTGCGAAAAAAAGAATAATCTGTTGGTCCATAACTTAAATAGGAACATACAACTTTTTCTTGCCTGTACTATTCAGCATAACCATTCCTTCCTAATGATATAATAAAAAGTCATTTTTTGAAGTGAAATACCAGAAAATCCAATTATTATTCTTCAAATAACAAAACAGTTAAAAATAATAAAAATGATGATTTTCTGATCTAGTTTCTGGTTAGATACCATTTTGTGATATGTCATTAGAAAGGGAATTGAATGCTGAATAAAGCGAAAAGGAAAAAAATAGGGTTTCCATTCAAAATAAAAAAGTTGATATTACTTCCGGTCAGACCGGAAGTCAACTTCGACATGTCAATATGCTCAAATTCTAGCTCTTATGTCATTATATCGACGCTCCAAATTTCACAAACCTACTTTATACAATAACTGAGATATTCCGTATGCAATACTTCCGTAGCCACCCGGTATAACAGGTCATGTTAGATTAGAAGTTTAATTGTTATGAACAGAATCACAATTCTTGATATAGGGTTGAACTTAAGCATTTTTGTCATACGTGTTGTGATATCAAAGGAAGAATACAAAAAAACTCAAAGTCGGTCGACCACAACAAATTTATTACGACATAAGACGTGTAACTAGTTTCGGTACTCGGCCATCATCAGACACATAATATAAAGCACCTGTAAGGGACAACGATGAAAAATATACAAAAACTACTGATGAGAGGAATCTTACCATGTGCATCAATAATTGGGTTGAACACATTGAAATGGGGGTTGTCAGCCGGAAAAATCAGTCCTAATTGTACAATACTGATTTCTCGACTAATTTATAACGGCTGAACAACTAGAAATTGATATTGACAATTTGGTTGAACATAATAAGAAATTAATAGATTGAATAGAAAGAAAATTTCACTAAAAAAATTATTGAGATCGTATGTAGGCTAGCCGCCATAAGACAAAGCAAAACCAAGTACCAGAGGGGATACAGAAGACAAATGATTGACAGATTGACAATTTCAAAAATTTCATCATTGCTGTCTTCGATCTCATCTGAGCTATTTCTGTTAATTTCCACCGTATATTCATTTTCTTTCCTTGTTTTAATTTTATACTCCATCAGATTTTCATCAAAACGAACATCTCTGGATCTAATAATTTCATTATCTTCTGGTAACCAAAATCTATAACCTCCTCTACAATATCCAATATGATCCAACCATGACTGCTTTTTTTGATTTCTTGTCTAATTTATTTCTTCTTGGCATAACAGTATAACATGTTCTGCACCCAAAAATTTTCAGTTTACTGATATCATTCCTATCATTCCATATATCTCATGGGGTTTGACATTTGGACAGTGCTGACGTGGGTGTTCTATTTAGTTCATATGCAAAACACTTCAATGCTTCGCCTCATAATGAGTTTGGTATACCTGATTCAATAATTTTTGTTCTTATCATATTCAGAAGAGGTCGGTTCATTCTTTCAGATTTTTCATTTGCCTGTGGACTATAAGACAATGCATATTGTAGTTTTATTCCTTTTTGTTCATAAAAGTCTTGAAAATGTTTCGAAGAAAATTCACCACCATTATCGAGTCTAAATCCTTTAACTTTATTATTGTTCTGTCGTTCAAATACCTGCACATACTCTTCGAGGTTTTCTTCAGCTATATTATTGTATTTAAAATCTTAACCACCAAAAAAATGAGAAAAATCATCCAAGATTACTTGAAAATATTTTCCACCATCGAATGTGTTCGATGTGATTGGGCCATATATTTTAGTGAAGTTTTCATTTGGTGGAAATGGTGATCTTGTTGCCTTCCCTTCAACACAGGGTGAACAAATTTGTGATAAGGGTTTCAATCCCAGCTTTGTTATAGCATCTTCATTTGCATGACCTAATCGTCGATGCCACATATCTTCAACTGACATATTAAACTCTTGATTTGGTTTCATTATCTATCTCATCTAGCGTCAAAACATATAAACCACTGTGCTTTTCACAGATCAGCTCAAAATTTGTACCGATCATTGATGTCTCGTCTTCCTACAACTATTTTGTGTCCTTCTTGCTGTAATTTTTGATGCAGATTATGTTTCAATCCTGGAACTATAAGGGCTTCTATGGTAACTAATTAACCTTGACAATTCGATTTCAACTTCCCAATCTTATCTGTTTTCAGGATTTGCCCATTTGCAATATGAATCTCTATAGAATTTCCCAGCCTTTGATATCAAACATATATTTTTTTTCTTGAACAAAATTATTGCTGGCACCTGAATCTATCACGAAAGTAACTTCATTTTGATCTTCACTGCAAACATTTGCTGCATATAATGCAATTTCTTCTTCTTCTTCTACTATATAAGCTTCTCGGTTCCTTCTATTTGTCATATTTCCTGGCTTTCTTTGATAGTTTCCTCTGGAACTACCCCGTTAACTTGCTCTATGCCTTCTATAATTTGGTCTGAAAACACCTCTTGGTGCCCCTCTTGAGCTATTTTTCCTTTATTTCTCATTGGACAATACATTTGTATGTGAAGTGAACTTCCACATGTAAAACATCCTTTTGGCGCTGTGTCCCATGCTTTAAAAACTACTTCATTGCTGCTATTGCTTTCTCCATCAGAATTCAACTTGATCTCTTCATTCTGTGTTTCAAATTCAACAGTTTTCTTCACAATCATAACTTCGTGAACGAGGTAGTTCTTACAAAAACACCTTTCAGTTTTGTTGCTTGAAAATGGGAGCAGAATCGGTCCCGAAACGTTCAAAGATAAGTGAAAATTTGATATTTTGTCTATATGCCTTTATTTCTCTTCTCCTACATTTTTTCAATACAAATTGTCACTGACAAGCTAGTGAATTTTTCTTTTAGGCTCTCTGATAGAAAAATTCTTTGAACGCAGTGACATTTTGGGGCAAATCATCTGATTTGTCCTTACTACACGTATAATATACATATTTTTATTATATAGAAACGAGGAGAGAAAATCCCAAAAAATTTGGAATAATGAATGTTGCTTTGCAGTTATGCAATCTTTGATAATGTCCAGATGTTTGTCTGAGATTTCCTCAACTTTTATTGATTGTGCTTTTGTATCTGCCCTAAGAAATTCACTTCTCACCTTGACTGTCGATGCTTCATCTGGTGGGTCATCTAGAGATTCTCTGTAGTTCTCTCTTTTGAGAAGTGACTTCACTCTGAACTCCCAATTATTATAGTTATTGGCCTCTGAAATTGGAACTGTCATATTGCTCACGGCTGCCATTTTTATATCGATTTAACTGACTTCAGCTTATTAATTACCAAGTACTTCTGGGCCCATAATCTGATAAGAATAACTTCAGATGCGAAATTTGCTATATTCAATTCAGTAATAATTCTGAAATTCCCAAGTTAACAGGAAGAAGTGCCTCGGAGACTCGCAACCCAGTCCTTGGCCCGGCCCTGACCTCACCTCTCGGTTGGAAAAAAGTTCAAAATTTTGTTTAAGAAGAAGCTCGGCAATGGAGTGCAATGATCTTATCTCACCAAAATTAGGGCTCTTGCCGGTTTGCATACGCCTAGGTCACTCCCCAAGGGCGGCATACGAACCGGAAGTGGCAATTTTCCAGTGCTATAGTCGATGATCTAAGAAGTATGCCCTTTGGCGAAACAATGAATTCGGACCCATCAATCAGTTACCCGACATTTGCATACGAATCCGGAGAGGGGAGCTCGGCCTATTCGAACATCAATAGACTAGACATCTTTCAAATAATCGATGATTTGAGTTCGTATGCAAATCTCTGGACCGATAAACTATGATACTCGGTATTACTGGATGCTATTTGCATACGAATTCAATGTGAGCATACGTTGTAATAATCGGGCAAACCCGCGCGTGCCTCGGTCCGGCGCGGCGCCCCGCACTACAGGCCAGAGGTGCACCGAAAGCGAACTAGATAATCTGGAAGTCTCATAATCTCATTTCACATAGAACTAGGTCGAAGAATAACTTCCTAGGAGTGCTGGGGGTATTCGAAGACGCAAATTACAGATAAATTTTTATTTATTCATCAGAAATTTACAGCTCAACAAAATTACATGTGTGGGAGGTTTAGTACCAAGATATTTTTTTGTGTGATTTTAATTTGAGAAACAGGGCTTTGAAAAGATGATAAAAAAATTTATGACAAAATACTCGGAGGGTGATCAAGAGGCATCGTACACGGAGAAGAGGGGTGGATTATTGCTCATGATCGAAACTCACAAAAAATCGAATGGAAATTCTTTCCTGGGGCTTATAGGACTGCTTATCATAATAAAAAAATTGAAAATGACATTATATTGAATGAAAACAACATTATATTTCGATGGAAAAATTATACGTCGTCTTCTCTATCATTATCTACAGAGTCATCTTCGCTCTCGCTTTCAGGAGATGATTCTTCAGAGTTGTCATCAGTACCTGTTAGTAAGAATATTATTTTGAATGGATATAATTATTGAAAAAATTTCCGATAATAGGAGAATATATTATTGAATGCCTTAATCATTACGTGCTACACTCTACCCGGCTGACGCAGCAAATTATTATTCAGATATGAAACTGGTTTCAGCAAAAAAAAAAAAGAAAAAAAATACTTCAAACCCGGGATTCATATTTCTGGCACAATTTGACAATCTGGCGCATGATCGCTATAAGAGTGCTGCGTGTAAATGATATCGCTATAGATGCTGTAGAGCTGTATTCGTCATGATAATCTCAACTCGACAGTGAAATAAAATATAGTGTTCCTGTAAAAAAAAATAACAACTACCCCATACTTCATTTGTTATGAAGAGCCTGCGAATTTTTCAAAAACAATGAAAAATCTCTTAGGAAAATGATTTTAATTAGTTTTTGAAATTTCAAAATCGGTTCAGTAACAAATAAGTAACAATGGAAGATATTTATGGTGAACCACCCTGAACGGAATGTGCAAATTTTATGCAAACCATCATCTCATATATACTGTGTGGTCCACTAATCATGGTCGAAATGCCAACATTTCTTCGATTATCGATTATTTGAAGGATATCCAGTCAAATGATGTTCGAATGAGTCGAGCTCCTCTCTCCGGAATCGTATGCAGATGTCGAGAAACTGATTAATGGGTCCGAATTCATTGTTTCGCCAAAGGGCATACATTCTTAGATCATTGACTATAGCACTGGAAAATTGCCACTTCCGGTTCGTATGCCGCCCTTGGGGTGTGACCTAGGCGTATGCAAATCGGCAAGAGCCCTAATTTTGGTGAGATAAGATTATTGCACTCCATTGCCGAGCTTGTTCTTAAACAAAATTTTGAACTTTTTTCCAACCCAAAGGTGAGGTCAGGAAAGGGGAAAGGACTGGGTTGCGACTCTCCGAGGCACTTCTTCCTGTTACTTGGACTAAGTGAGTGGGTCCCTCAAGGTCGTTCCCTACCTTTATAACGCCTATACCAAATAATGCATTTCAAATTCATCTACAGAATGGAAATGAATCGATAGATTTATTTGAATCTTTGACAATCTGTTGATATTGATGAATACTATAGATCGTGAAAAGAATATTTCGAATTTTTCTTTCAGTTTCTCGTTAAATTGCTTTTGGAAATGACGAATTTGTTTGAGTTTTTCAATTTTGTTCACATTCATCAACATAAGACAATGCTAACTTATTTCTATCGGCGTGTCGATGAGTCAAAATCATGTGTTTTTTGCATAATGCATTTCAAATCGATTTTTGACTTTTTATTGATTTACGCTTACAATCTCCGCCCCTCGCTAGGCCACACCCACGATCCAATCAGAATGACCCATGACCAGCCACATTACTTCTTACCTACTCTGATTACTACCCCATGAAACAAGTGATTTAGTGTTTGTTGATAACTTGTGCTGTGTGTATTGTTTTATTGGTTCCGTAATTGCTTAATCACGACGAATGGTGAGAAAATATCACCATCAAGAGTTCATATAAGAGATCTACCAGATCTAAATTGATGAAACAACTCAACGAAAGAAGGTACTTTTGACAAAATAATAATATGTATTCATAGTTTGGATATCCAAAGTCAGTTGAAACAGATCATGGAAGGAATTTCGGAGCGTGTTGCCGCTCTCTTTGAACTTTCAAAGGAACCGATGGCCCGCCGTGATGTTTTGTTCCAACTGACATTACATAGACTTTACCAATATAGATAGGTATTATTATCATTATTATTCCGGCTTACTAGATACATAAACGCGTTCATATATTCTATGATTAGGAAATTCGTGAAATTTTGTATCTAAGTATTCGATGTGTTCCACTGCCTGGAGAACTAACAACATTGTTGAATTCAACGCCACCAAAACTCAAGCCTAATTTTTCTCTAGAAAGACGGAACTCAGTATGTCTGATATTACCATGTCTGGTACCACCATCCCTACCAAGCCAACTATATCGATGCTCGGTATTTCCATCAGTAATACTCTCTTTCATGGGAGAATCATGTACGATCCATCGCGGAAGCTGCCAATGAATGAGACTATATTTTCTGAAAAAAAAACCTGTATACCTGAATCGATAATATAAAAGTTCTCAGGCTTGGCCAAAGTATCTGGTTATGCAGACTAGAATATATAATAATTTTAGAAATTATCGCTGTGATTATGCAAATCAGTTTCTATACCTGACATCACTTCTTCGGAGGGTCAGTTGTACCTCTGCTGCCGATTGTAGGGAGGTGGGAGGAGCTTAACACTTCAATATGTGATTATTCATATGGTCTATACAATCGCCATCTGGCGGAATTCAGTTGTTATGAGACGGTGTGGAACAGCTTTAAATGGCATACCAACTTAGAACATCGATAAACCCTGTGTCGCGGGCCAACAGTCTATATTGTTTTCATATCAAACACTATCTTGTTCTAGTCTAGAATATTATACAAAATGATTGACTAATATGAGATTAATCAACATACTTGTCCTGCCTTTACAAAATAATCTTTGACCTGCAGAAGCCAGGTATATTTTGGGTCATCTGCTAACTCACTCCGTATGGTTACCTATACAAGAAAATCTAATAGATAGGCACAACTAATCCTGTCGTATGTGATTGCTTCCGAAAAAAAAATCATTTTTACAGGTATGATTGTTGTTTCGTTGCCAATCCTCCTAGCTACTACCAACAGAAGAGCTAAAAAATCTACCAACCTGCTTGCTCTTCCTGAAACTTCTTCCCATGGTACCAAAGATGCTCAGTTCACCGAAGATGCCACGGGTGAACACGATGATTCCGTCTCCGACAGGTATATATACAGAGTGTCTCATTTTGGAAGCATTCTTTATCCGAGTTACCATTCGTGAGATACTATCCAAATATGAACAGGAATAAGAATGAAATCATATTAGGTATTGTCCACGCACGAAAACTAATCCGAATCGTGTGTTTCACACAATAATAAAAATGTCAGTAACTACGTTACACAATAGTCTGAATTCACTACCATTGCCCACCAGACAAAAAGCTGCTGTGCCTTGTAAGCTCACATGTAAATTTAGTTTGGGGTTTATCAACATTTGCTATGAAATTCAAACGAATAACAATATACTTCATGACTATTCCCCAAAATATAGACCATTCTCAAGTAACCATACGAAATTTTATAGGACGCGAAGGATTAATCAGCTATTTCTTGTTGTTAACTGTACAGGGTGGCCAACTAAGAATCCAGAGTTCGATACCTCTGTTGTCTTGAGAGATACAAAAAAAAGTTTCGCATTCAAATCAAAGTAATAACCAAGCTTCACATTTCAAAATTTCTTTGAAATACACAGGGTGTTCCGTAAGGTCACAGCACATCAAAGCTATGTTTTTTTCATCAGAACACCCTATATTTCATTCCATTTTTGAATTCTCCCTGAAGATCTTTCAACGACCCATCATACTTAGGGTCTAGCAGTGAAAGTTACTGACATATAGGGTGTGCAAAATCGAGATTTTCCAAGTTCAGGATTTTTTTCTGTCGAAACTGTTCATTATTCGTCAAAACGGTTTACTTGTCCCTATCTCAACTTTTCACTCACTATCAATTGGTGTTCAAATGACATTTAATTAAAACAAATTATAAATTTAGATTTTTTGACCACCTTGTATCAATTTCAATTGAACACCGATGGATACTGAGTGAAAAATTGAGATAGGAAAATATTAACCGTTTTGACGAAAAATGAACAGTTTAGAGAGAAAAAATTCCTGAACTTGGAATATCTCGATTTTGCACACCCTATATGTCAGCACCTTTCACTGCTAGACCCTAAGTATGATGGGTCGTTGAAATCAGATCTTCAGGGAGAATTCAAGAATGAAATGAAATATAGGTTGTTCATATGAAACAAACATAAATTTGGTATGCTGTCACCTCATGGAACACCCTGTATATTCCAAAATAATTTTGAAATGTGCAGCTCGGTTATTACTTCAATTTTGATACATGACTTTTTTGTGTATCTCTCAAGACAACAGAGAAATCGAACTCTGGAGTCTTAGTTGGCCACCCTGTACTCAGTACGTTAGAGCCGCCTAGCATCAAAACAGAGCAAATTTCTTGTGAGTTTGATTGTACCAATTGTTTCGGTCTGAGGATTATGAGATTCTAGCACATTACTTTTGCAAAGAGAGAAACTCATAGTCATCACCACAATAGTTCATAAAATGAACAAAAATGGTAGATAACGAGAGAGAACCAACTATTTTCCTGGCTATATGCCACGCAGAACATTGGATTACTTCCTCCCGAAATCTATGCAATAGTTCGTATAGACGAATAAAATCGCAAGTGTTTCGTTCCTGGTCGCCGAGCTGCGCCTAAGTGGTTCAGGAACATGGGACCATCTGCAGACCTGTTTCGAGCTGTTGGCTGAGATACGTTTCTGTTGGGCCAGGTTCGCACCAGATAGCGGTCAAGAAGCTATCTGGGACAGCCCTGCACTGATGAGAGTAGATCAGCTACAAGAGAACCAGACCAATTTTCAAAATTCTAAGTCCTTTTTCCCCAGATTCTACGGAAATTCCGGGATGCGCAGCGGAAAGCCCCATAAGAGCCCATGTAAAGCAGATCAGATTTTTTTTTTGATCTACGGACTTTTTCAGCGAATTTTAAGGTTCATTCTGTGATTTTTGGTCCAATCCAAGGTCATCCATCTCTGACTCTGGTGCTGCAGACCTCGTTGAAAGCAAACTCTCTCAAATCGGATTGCTTGAAGGGCCCTAAGGGAAATGTATCTGCTCGAATTTTACGAAAATTAATTTTTGAAGGGCTTCAATGGCCATATAGTGTATATTATGCCAACTGTAGGTTGTTTATCAAATGAAAGGTCTCTGCTTAGATTTCACGAAAATTAAGCCCTTCAAAAATTAATTTTCGTAAAATTCAAGCAGATACATTTCCCTTAGGGCCCTTCAAGCAATCCGATTTGAGAGAGTTTGCTTTCAACGAGGTCTGCAGCACCAGAAACGCCGTTCTCACTGGTCAGAGATGGATGACCTTGGACTGGATCAAAAATTGCAGAATGAACCTTGAAATTCGCTGAAAAAGTCCGTAGATCTAGGGAAGAATCTGATCTGCTTTACATGGGCTCTTATGGGGCTTTCCGCTGCGCATCCCGGAATTTCCGTAGAATCTGAGGAAGTTCGGTGTTAGGGAAGGAAACACTTGCGTCTATAGGAATTATTACATGGAATTCCGGGGGATTTAATCCAATGTTCTGCGTGGCATATAGCCAGAAAAGTAGTTGTTTTTCTCGCGTTATCTACCATTTTCGTTCATTTCATGAACTATTGTGGTAATGACTTTGAGTTTCTGTCTTTGTGACCGTTGCATTCCACTTTGAGTATCTGGCTCCTCCTAGTTGATATTATCTTTGGTCTCAAAAGTAATCAGAAAAAAAAATCACGAAACATGAAATGATTTTTGTCGATCAACCAATAATTCAGGGGCTAGTGGTAAAATGAGTGAAATTACTTCAAGGACCGAGTACTTCACGACAGCTAAGAACCTCCTTATCACCGGTTCCAATGCAGTTGAGAGACTCATGAGCAGCTATAAAGATATCGTCGAATTGGCTGGCCATACTGCTAGGGTGGCGAATATGTTCACTGTCCTAGAAGAAGCCAGTCAGGGGATTTATCACAAGACATTGGTAGCTAAAAAGGAGAAGAGAGAAGATTTTGAGATTGAGTTCAGGGGAAATCAACCACTGGCCAAAGGTAAGTGTATATACATATACTTCTAGAAAGGCGGAACTCAGTATGCCCGATATTGTAATGTCTGGCTCCACCATCCCCACCAAGCCCACCATATCTATGCTCGGTATTTCCATCAGCAACACTCTTTCATGGGATAATCATGTCAGATCCATCGCAAAAGCTGCTTCCCAAAAACTCGGATTCTTGTTCCGTGCGAAAAGCTACTTTACACCACAACAGCTTCTCATGATCTACAAAGCGCAGATACGGCCTGTTCTAGAATACTGTTCCCACATATGGGGTTCAGCACCAAAACATACGCTGATGCTCTTAGATTCCATCCAGAGAAGAGCCATTCGCCTGGTGGGTGACGCCACACTCACTCACTCTTTGGCATCATTAGAACACCGTAGAAAGGTCGGCGACCTTTCACTTTTCTATCGATACTTCCACGGGAAATGTTCTTCGGAAATCTCTGCTATCATCCCTTCACTAGCAATACCAATCAGACGAACTAGACAAGCCCAGTCAGCACATCCTTTCGTTGTCAACCTCGAAAGATGTCGAACAGCACTTTATCAAGACTCCAAAAGTTCAAAAAAAATTCCAATACCCACCTCCTGTCCCTATCCTCCCTAGGAACGCACGATGTTCTTTGAACATTATAGGGATTCCCTCTCGTGCGCTCCAAGCGATAAAAAAAAAAAAAAAAAACATGGTTATTCATTAAGATTTCATTTCAGAATATCTACTTTTAACCACCCTGTATCTCCTAAACCAGCAATATTTTTATGAGGCATGATAGGCTTAATCTTTATATTTGGGTGTTTACTATCTGTAGTTCCGGGATCTTCAATTCTTAGTTGAATAAAATCATTAAAATGTTATAATTGGAACATATATCTCTTCAAGAGCGAATAACACAAAAACCGTTGAAGTTTCCGAGCTTCCAGATTTTCAACTTATTTTGATCATCAATTGATTGACATAGAAGATATGATGTAAATTATCAAGTCCTCTATGAGCAATCACAAAATAAGTTGCAAATTTATATTCCTCATGTCAGAAATTCTAGAAATATAAGATTTCATGTTCATGCTGTTGAAACCAACAGAGATATTGTGAAATTTTGAAATAAAATCTTCCCCTAGTACACCCTGTATCTTCTAAACCAGTAACATTCTCATCAGGCATATTGGGCTAAATTCCATTATTTTTGTGTTTATTATCTGTAGTTCAGAAATTTTCCATTCTTGAATGATTCACTCTATAGAAGAGTAATGCAGCTAATGCTCAGTCAAAAAATGCAACAGTTTTGTATTTATGTCGAATCTTGAAAATTTCATAAGAAATTTACAGAGGTGCTGTCATCGGGAATGCAGCTAAGATGCATGTCTATCTTCAAATTAAATACCTAACAGACTTATCTTCAACATGTCATAAATACACTTCACCTCGACACGTGTCTCATAGTGGGCTACTTATATACTAAATATATGTCCACCCAACCGTGAATAGACAATAACCGCTAAGTTAATTGAATACAAAAAGCTCAAAGTCATTCACACACGTAGATTTCGGGAGAAAAACAACTACTTTCCTAGCTCATGCCACGCAGAACATTGAATTACATCCTCCCGAAATCTATGCATCGACTCGTATAAACGAATACTGATACAAGTGATTCTTTCCTGCATGCCTATTGATTTAGATTCAGCCAGGCCACGCTAGACAACCACAGACCGGTTTCGAGCTCTTTGACTCTCATCATCAGTGCAGTGTAGTCTAAGATCGCCGACTCAGCTCAGTCTTGTCAAACAAAACTCAAGTCGGCATTATATTCCCCCAGAGGCGTCTCTCATCGACAATATGAAAGCAACGCCATCTGTATAGAACAGAAGGAAAGAATCACTACAAAACTGAAATTTCCATACGGAAGTGGCTGGTTGCTCGACTGGCGTAATTTCAATTACGGAATAGCCACAATTCTCAAAGATTTCGGGAGGATGTATCAATGTTCTGCGTGGCATTAGCCAGGAAAGTAGTTGTTTTTCTCCCGAAATCTACCATTTTCGTTCATTTAATGAACATTCCGTATGGACATGACTTCGAGCTTTTTGTATTTATTTAACATTTCATTCCACTTTCACCATTGTGGCTATTTCGTAGTTGAAATTACGCCAGTCGGGTAACCAGCCACTAACGTATGGGAATTTCAGTTGTGGAGTGATTCTTTCCTTCTGTTCTACTCAGATGGCGTTGCTTTCATATTGTCGATGAAAGACGCCTCTGGGGGAATATAATGCCGACTTGGGTTTTATTTGGCTGGGCTACGCTGAGTCGGCGGTCTTGGGACTGCTGGCTCGAGACCACACTGCACTGATGAGAGTCAAAGAGGTCGAAACCGGTCTTTAGGTTTTTAGCATGGCCTGGCTCATTCGAAATCAATAGACATTCAGGAAAGAATCACTTGCCAGGAATGTAGTTGTTTTCCTCCCAAAATTTACCTTTGTTCATTTTCTGAACATTGTGTGGATATGACTTTGAGCTTTTTGTATTTATTTCACTTCATGTTCAGTACACAGCTTCGCGGATGATAGTACCCTCCATTCCGCCTTCTCTCCCAGGGCTCCAAGTCCAGCCAGGCAAATCAGAAACGAACAAGGGAGAAATGTTGACTACATAAATATGGACTTGGCAACAATTATCGAATGAGGATCCAATAACTTGGTAGATTTCAATGTAAACAAAACACATGCATGCCTTTTCACTAAAAGAGCCGATCTCACTGTGCCCATTATGAGCTTGTCAGGAGTAACCATATCTTTGAAGACATCGATCTCGATGCTTGGGATTACTATCAGCAATAACCTTTCTTGGGAAAATCACGTGAGATCAATTGCTAAAAGTGCACCCCAAAAACTCGGTTTTGTGTTTCGGGCCAGGAGCTATTTTAATTTCAGTCACCTGGTTATGATCTTCAAGGCACAGATACGACCTGTCCTGAAATACTGTTCCCATATTTGGAGTGCAGCACCCAAACATATCCTGAAACTGTTGGATTCTGTCCAAAAAAGGTAATCCGTCTCGTGGGTGATGCCTCGCTCACAAACTCAGTCACTTCTCTGGAACACCGTAGAAAAGTTGGCGATCTGGCTCTATTTTTAAGATATCTTCATGGACGATGGTCTTTCGAAATATCAACAATTGTTCCTCCCTTGGCAGTCCTTGCGAGATCAACCCGTCGAGTAGAGGCTTCGCAGCCCTTCGTGGTCACTTTCGAGACCTGCAGAACATCTTTTTCCAAAGACTCGTTCATCTAACGAACAGCGAGGCTCTGGAGCACATTGCCAAGGGAGGTGTTCCCAGAGGCATATAAACTCCAGAAATTCAAGAACAACACCAATTCCTACTTTTTTTCCCTTGGTTATCACGATGTTATCTGAACATTACAGGATATCCATTTTCGTGGGAACCAGAACATGAAAAAAACATAAATAGTTTTCCAATCTCTACCAGAATCTGTTTTATTTCATTTCAACAACTTTTTTGTTTCAGGTAGGATGATCCAGTCAACAAATAACGAGATTATTTTGCATAATGTTCCTATCGTCACTCCAAACTGTGATATAGTATGCCCTTCTCTGAGTCTTCACTTGGAGCCGGGACAACACTTGCTCATCACAGGACCGAATGGTTGTGGAAAGTCTAGTTTATTCAGAATATTGAGTGGATTGTGGCCTATTTACGGAGGTGAATTGTACACACCGAAAAATGCCATGTTTTATATTCCACAGAGGCCTTATATGGTGATAGGTGAGCATTATCCAATATTCGGTCAATTCATTTTATTCACCAATAGCATTGAATTTTTTTTAGTTTTCAATGTTTGAAGATAACATTTTGGAATTTCAAAACACCTGAAATGAATTTGCTATTGATGTCTTTTCGTTCATAATGGTAGGTACCTCTTCCATTCGCGATCTTCAAATGGTACACTGGATTACTTCACATTTTTGGTTATAAATATCATTTTTCATTGCTACAGCGTGTCTCAGACTGATTTATCAGTAAAGCGGATTGAACGTGAATTGAGGATCGGTTTTAAAAACTATAATCATTTTATCATTTATTCCAGAGATGAAAATCGTTTTGGAAAGTTATATGTGTTTCAGGATATGTCTCATTTGAAAATTATCATTATGAATGAGATAAGTAATAATTTCAAATGTCCATTCAGAAACAATACACATCTTCTCCTTCGAATTCGCCGTTTCTTAGTGAATAATTCATGTTCTAATGCAAAATCAAGTGAAAATACACAGTACTGTCAAAAACAATCTTTATCTCCAAAAAAATATACATTGGAACATACAGATAGGTATTTTGAATGAACTGGGAAAATCCTTACGAAGTGAACCTTGTAGTGAGGATAAAAAAACAAATGTACATAGGTCAATAAATATTTAAAAATATCAAATTATCACAAGGGGAAAAATGGCTAATAAGGAAATGAGACATCATGTATATAATTCATGTATAGTGTACTAAGCATATCATTCAATTTGCATAATTATTTTCATTTATATATACCAATTTTCATTTGATTGGAATTGAGGTTATCAGTCTCCGCCTACAGCGAAACAAGCGCTATTCTCCTCAACTGGCAATGTTGCCAAATGCTATCCTTTTTTAATACTCCTATATGTGATAATTCGATAAACAACCTAAATAACACCGAAAAAAATCTAGGAGCGATTTCTTGTGATATGGAAATGAAGTTCATATGAACCTATGTCCTAACTTGCTTCGTTTTCGAGATACAGAGTATCAATATTTCCATGAAAAACGTTTTTTATTCATTACACACTTGTCTTTTCCTCAATTTCAATAAAACTTTGTGGTTTTATTAATAGTAATATGGAGGTCCTTCTGATGCAATTGGATTCCAAATAATATTTCCAGTGGCGTCACAGATTTATCGATATTTATGGTGAATGTTATTGTACGTCACCGGTTCTTGTGAGTTCCATATTTTCATAAGATTGAAATATTGAAATAACAACTTTTATTATCTTTTGTGTGAATTCAGTATCTAGCTTAGCTTTCGAGGAAACAAAACAAATTCGATTTGACTCCAAATTTTGATGTAGATGTTTCCAAGACCTCCATTGAGACTACTCAATAACGCCAATCACAATAATTTTGAAATTTCAGGGTTTCCTCCGACCATACTGAATTTTGGCACCATAAAAGCTCATACGGGGGGGGGGGCTATAAATAAAAACAATTGATACTTCCAACTTCAACATCCTGTTTCTCAAAAACGGAGCAAGTTAGGACACTTGTTTATATGAACTTCATTGGCTCATTGGCTAGAATATCACAAGGAATCACCCCTTGAATTTTTTCGATGTTATTTAGATACACTCTACAATAATCGATTGCTCTTCCATGTTGAATATTAAATTTCCAAAATTTATATCAAGGAGGAAGCTAAATATCTCGTTCAGATAAACGAGAAACTATAGACTGACAACTTTCACCCGCTGATTAACTGCTGCTGACTACCGATGACTTTTCTTCCCTCTATACAATTTTGACAGTTCACTGAAGCCACACTACTTTTTGATACTCAGCAATTTCAGAAGAATGTTGAGTCGAAATATTTGGAATGAATAGTATGTCTACTCACAAGCATTTGTCACTTTCAGTGAATTTTTTTATTTCGGAATGAAAAATAGAAGATTTAGAACTGTCAGTTGAATTCGGAATATAGCCCTAATATACAAAAAACGTCAAAACAGCAGTGTCTAGTTCATTTAATGAATAATTCAATTAAAATCTGCTACAGCTTGTCTTCGGGTGTTTCCAATATCAGAACAATCAATAAAATAAGATAATTCTTCAAGCAATTCAGTGTGTTGAAACATATACAATTTTATTTTTCATACCATCTTTCAAGAAATCGTGAAACAACATTGAAATAGTCAATAATATTCACTTCCTGTCCTACGGCTTCGCGAGACCAAGACTTAATGAATCTTTTCAAGACTAGGACCAAGACTTGACTCTCGAGACAGAGACCAAGGCTCTCTCCCAAAAGTCTTGGTCTAAAGAAAAATAATGAACTCAAATCTACTCAATATTAAGAGAAATCTGATGAAAAATGTAATGGCATTTTATTTCAGTTATTTATTTGTCTCATGGTAGGTTTTCAATTTTTGTTCACTCAAAATCCGAAATAGTCATTTTCCTAACAAGTGCGGAAAGTGATTCTTTCCCGCACGCGACTGCCGTTGACACGAACGACGCGAAGCGGAGTTCGGGCAAGCAGTCGAGTGCGGGAAAGACACTTTTCGCATGAGTTAGGAACAATATTTTTTCTACAAGCGTAGGAAATTGATTAATTCGTTCAATTAATTATAAATTCATATGGGAACAACTAACAATAGAAATATATTCTCTACCCACTGATAATTAGTAATAGCTATTGTGAACTTACAGTTTAACGCATTATGTATAGGTTCATTGCGAAAGCCAGCAGGCCCATAAGGTGTTTGGTCTCTAGGTTCCAGACACTTCTAAGAAATGAGCCAAAAATACTACTTCTTTATACGGTATTTTCATTTTCATTCATCATACATTTCTTAAGACTTCGTTGGCAATAACGCATCTGTATCGCCTTCCTATAGCTGGAAGTATTTGATCACATTGTGGCAATTCCACCGAATCGAAAGTTGCGGGAAAATGATACTTCCAAAACTAAATTGCGTGCGGGTATAGGGTGAATCACGCACGCTCGTAGAAAAAACATTTTTCAAATTCAGGATTGCAGATTCAAAGTTTTCAATGAATAGAGGTGTATGTTGTAAGGTCACAGTGGTCGTTACCTCTTTCTATTGGAGATAGAAACAGATTTAATGCAAAAGTTATTTGGTTTCAATTTGACATTTTTTGAAATATTTTGATAATGCGTTGTTTTCAGTTCCGCCCCTTTTGAATTTTTTTCTGGCCTGTCGGGTGTCGGCCTGTTTGCTGTTTGAGTGTCATTCAATGTTTATTCGAGGTTTCTCAAAAATTATATCGTTATGGTAACAGGAGGAATTTATTTCGCTTAGTTTATACGCACAAATTGACAATTCTGAAAACTGAGAAAAACGAAATACCTATTATATGCATATGAAATGTTGAATATTTCAATTGAAGACTGAGCCAGTCTCGTCTTGGTCTTGAAACATCAAGACTGATACCAAGACCTAGACTACTTTTATTTTTCGAGACCAACACCAAGACTGATCCTACTCTCACTTACTACTTCCCGCCCCCACTTCCCGACTTCACTTATGCGGTATTTTAGGTATGTTCAGAACGAAACAGAAATTTATTACAAAGAGAGAAACTCGAAGTCATTACCACACTACACCTTTTCCAGATGTATTTCAGAAAGCGTCAATTTAATTTCAGATTAGTCACTTGCATTTCAGAAAGCATCAATTGTATTTCAGAATAGTCAATTCAATTTCAGAAAGCGTCAATTGTACTTCAGAATAATCAATTCAATTTCAGAAAGCATCAATTGTATTTCAGAATAGTCAATTGAATATCAGAAAGTGTCAATTGTATTTCAGAAAGTATCATTTGAATTTCAGAAAGCGTCAATTGAATTTCAGAAAGCATCAATTGTTGTTCAGAATAGGCAATTGAATTTCAGAAATCGTTTTCTATAGACTGAAAGCCAGCGACCACCAGACAACATTTCAACAAGGTTGATATTTTCAATGTGTGTTATATCTTATTCGGTGGAATCGTTTTGGGGGTTGAAAATCTTCAGTACTGGATGGGCTTTCATGAGATACCGGGTGTTGAAACTACGAAAAAAAACTGGCAAAAACATCATTTCCACAAAAGCTGATATTTTTTTTTCAATCGGATCCTATCATGAAAGAGAATATACAATTGCCAGGCACTTCCCACGGGGTGTTCTCTTGCCAGACAACTTTATAAATCGTGAAAATATCATGACATTCACGTCAAAGCAACAGAGCTTGATTTTGTAAATGCTATTACGAAGCCTATTTTACAGTATCAAACAGCCATCAGTCACTTCCTATTGGACAAACATGTAAAAATCATAACTTTTTCATAGCAATAGAAATAAGTGTATCTGCTATGATAGTTCCCTATACCTGAAATTCCGTAATCTGTTCATCTAATATAAAGGTACCAAAAGGTACATAACAAAGGAATTTGCGGTGATTTAATTGAAAACATCACTACATGAAGCACTCAACATCCTAGGCATTCTTACATGGAGTGCACTTTCTACTAACTAATCGATCTTGATGCTTTCTGAAATTCAATTGACGCTTTCTGAAATTCGAATGATGTTTTCTGAAATACAAATGACACTTTCTGAAATTCTATTGACTATTCTGAAATACAATTGACGCTTTCTGAAATACAAGTTACTATTCTGAAATACAATTGACCCTTTCTGAAATTAAATAGACTATTCTGAAATACAATTGATGCTTTCTGAAATTGAATTGACTATTCTGAAATACAATTGACGCTTTCTGAAGTCAAATTGACTATTCTGAAATACAATTGACGCTTTCTGAAATTGAATTGACGCTTTCTGAAATACATCTGGAAAAGGTGTAGTTCATAAAATGAACAAAAATGGTAGATAACGAGAGAAAAACAACTACTTTCCTGGCTATATGCCACGCAGAACATTGGATTACATCCTCCCGAAATCTATGCAATATAAAATCGCAAGTGTTTCCTTCCTAAACGCTGAGCTGCGCTAAGTGGTTCAGGGACGCTGACTACCTGCAGACCGGTTTCGAACTGTTGGCTCTCATCAGTACAAGGCTGTCCCAGATATCTTCTTGACCGCTATCTGGTGCGAACCTGACTCAACGTAAACGCATCTCAGCATTTATAGCGTACGAGGCGTTCGAAGTCCGCGAAATGAAAACGCGAACGCCGAACGCCACCTGGCAAGGAAAGAAACACTCCAAAACAGATCCCATTTCAGATGAAATGGGAGTGGCTGGTTGCCCGACTGGCGTATTTTCAACTAGGGAAAAAGCCAAATAATCAAAGTGGAATGCAATAGTCACAAAGAGAGAAGAAAGCGAGATTTTATTCGTTTATACGAACTATTGCTTAGATTTCGGGAAGATGTAATCGAATATTCTGCGTGGCATATTGCCAGGAAAGAAGTTGTTTTTCTCTCGTTATCTACCATTTTTGTTCATTTTATGAACTAGTGTGGTAATGACTTTGAGTTTCTCTCTTTGTGACCATTGCATTCCACTTTGAGTATTTGGCTTTTTCCCTAGTTGAGAGATTTATTGATCTCCATAGAAATATGATGGTTGTAAATGAAATAGTATAAAAACCTCGTTAGGAAGTTCCAATCGTCTCTCGACTCTTTGCGTCTCGGTTTACTAACTAATATCACGACAGGAATGAATTCGCCTGGTGGGTGACGCCACACTCACTCTTTGACATCATTGAAACACCGTAGAAAGGTCGGTGACCTTTTACTTTTTTATCGATACTTTCACGGGAAATGTTCTTCGGAAATCTCTGCTATCATCCCTTCACTAGCAATACCAGTCAGACGAACTAAACAAGCCCGGTCAGCACATCCTTTCGTTGTCAACCTCGAAAGGTGTCGAACAGCACTTTATCAAAACTCCTTTATCCATAGAACGGCTAGGCCCTGGAATTCATTGCCTGAGGAAGTATTCCCAACAGGAGTTCAAAATAAAATTCTAATACCTACCTCCTGTCCCTATCCTCTCTAAGAACGCACGATGTTCTTTGAATATTACAGGGATTTTCTTTCGTACGCTACAAGCGATAAAAATAAATAAAAAATCTCTTCCGAATTGCAAAAGTTTCGAGAACTAAATACACTGTATCTGCTAAGATGTTTATTTATTTATTATAGAAGCAATACAAACAGGGTCATGAAGCCCTAATCATACAGGAATTCTCTTTCTCACAACTAGAAACTGAATGAAACCATGTGAGACATTTGAAACAAAGATATATAAATTCATACATAGCGATAAATTTATACCTAGCCAAATATACATAAGTGTATACTCGTACCTATATATGCTCGGAATAGAATAAGGATAATAATAATAAAAAGAAAGAAATCATATAGGTTTTGGGTACCTATAGTGATATTAATTGTTGGCAAAGATGAAGAAAAACAAAAATAGACAAGAAAAAGTGTAGGTATCCTAACCAACATTCTATAAGACATCTTAGTCTTATATACAAAAAAATATAATATATTTATATATTTGAGAACCTGTTGGAATTCTGAAAATTATATGAATCAATATCATTTTGATGTACTCTCATTTCCTTAACTTCACGCTAAAGTCATGAGGGTAACCGTAGATCTAAATATTTAGATCTATGAGGTAACCAAAACATGCCTTGATTAGAGAAAGTATCTACATTTCGTATATGCATTTTAACATGATTATAGTTGAAATTGTGAATATCTTCTGAGATTCTATCAGCAGGTTTATATTTACTATTACGCATATACCTACTATCAATTATATTTGGAAACCTCGGAATGTGAAAGAACGTGTTTCTGGAGCGAATCATATGTGAATGGAGCATATATTGTTAACTGTGAGAAAAGATACGTTTCTGACACTTTATCACTTAGTAATTCGAAAATGAACATAATTTTTTGTCGAATTCGTCTATTTTCCAACTTTTATGAGAGATGCTTTTCTGTGTGGCTCATAAGATGAGTGACCCGAACAATAACCACATTTTCTGCAATGTAGGTAGGCAATAAATTTGTTTTGAATTGTTTTTATGATTTATTTTTGTTTTAATGTGGACGGGTCCCATATTATGCTTCAGTATGCAGAATGATATAGCAGTTTCATTGTTTTTGAACTAAGGAATTCTTGTGTCATACGTTTGAGAAATCCAAGTATCTCCTGGGCGTTGCGAGTTATTGCTGAAATGTATTTTTCAAATTTGAGTTGGGACTGAGAAATCACACCATGTTCATTCATGTCATCATAATCAATGCCAATCACAATCAGAGAACCTCTTGTTGCAGGTAATTTAAGAGACCAAGTTATTTATCCTGACACCTATGCTGACATGATCAACAAGCAGATCACAGAAGAAGACTTGAGGAGAATCATGAGATTGGTTCATCTAGATCACATAGTAGAAAGAGATACTTTCCATGAAGTTAAAGATTGGACCGATATTTTATCAGGTGGTGAAAAACAGAGAATGGCAGTCGCAAGGTTATTCTATCATAGGTGAGTCGATCTCTGTTAGCTGTTGAGTTCACTAATAATGAGTTGTCTTGATTTATAGACCAAAATATGCCCTCCTGGACGAGTGCACATCAGCAGTATCCATCGATGTTGAGAGCCATATCTATCAAAGTGCTATCGACATGGGGATCACACTTCTAACTATTACTCATAGGCCCACCCTTTGGTAAGTTAGGGCAATTAAATTGAGATAAGTGATGAATTCTAATATAGGTACTTATTAACCCACCCCGAACACAAAAACAACCAACAATCGGTTCATTAATTTTCAAATCTCTTCAACAAAACCTAACATCCTTGCTAGGGTAGGTAGAACATTGCAAAATAAGTTGGGTTTGCTCAGTAAGAAAATTTCGTAACGCCATCCGTTTTTAAGATGCAAGGTGTTGAAAAATATTTTGTTAACACATTTTTTACGATTATGTCGAAACTACTGGCAACATTGTGATGAAATTTGAAAGCTGACACATGGCATGAATTTGTTTTTATATCTGACAATCATATAAGGCGCTAGTTACACGGGTAGTACCGAGTACTTTAAAACATAACTTTTTTGAGGTTAGATTTTTCAGTCCAAATTCAATGGAAACTTGAACACCATTCAATTTTACACTAAAAATGTGCTCTTCTTAAACCTTGATACAGTGTACATTTTTCGGGGTATTTCGATTTGTAAATGCTGAAGTATAACACTGATTTTGGGTGTATGATAAATTGACATTCATCATACAGGGCGTGGAAAAAAATTCTGGTCTATGAAAATCACAAGTTTCCATCGTTCAAGTTTGAACCCCCTGATTGGGTATGAAAGTGTTGAAAAGGAATATTCTCAGATGAATTATGGACATACAAAAATGGATATACCGGGTGGCTACGGAAGTATTGCCTACGGAATATCTCAGTTATTGTATGAAGTAGGTTTGTGAAATTTGGAGCGTCGATATAATGACATAAGAGCTAGAATTTGAGCATATTGACATGTCGAAGTTAACTTCCGGTCTGACCGGAAGTAACATCAACTTTCTTATTTTAAATGGAAACCCTACTTTTTTTTCTTTTCGCTTTATTCAGCATTCAATTCCCTTTCTAATGACATATCATAAGTTGGTATCTAACCAGAAACTAGATCAGAAAAAAATCATTATTGAAATTCACCGAGTAGGCCGTGGAAGCAAAATGAAAGCCAAAAATTGAAAAGTTGGCTATGGAAACCATACGTCACTTGATAACAATTGCTACTACTGTGATATTTTATTTTCATTCGTCGGCGTTATAAAAAGCCGCCAAAAAAAATATTGGAAAAATTGGGAAAAAAACAATACTCTGTAGGTCCATAACTTAAATAGGAACATACAACTTTTTCTTGCCTGTACTATTCAGCATAACCATTCCTTTCTAATGATATAATAGAAAGTAATTTTTTGAAATGAAATACCAAAAAATCCAATTATTATTCTTCAAATAACAAAAAAACAGAACAATAATAATTTTTTCCTGATCTAGTTTCTGGTTAGATACCAACTTGTGATATGTCATTAGAAAGGGAATTGAATGCTGAATAAAGCGAAAAGAAAAAAAAATAGGGTTTCCATTTAAAATAAGAAAGTTTATGTTACTTCCGGTCAGACCGGAAGTTAACTTCGACATGTCAATATGCTCAAATTCTAGCTCTTATGTCATTATATCTACGCTCCAAATTTCACAAACGTACTTCATACAATAACTGAGATATTCCGTAGGCAATAGTTCCGTAGCCACCCGGTATATTAATATGAAGCAATACATTGAGAATTCGCATTCTCTATGTGATGAGAATATCTACTCTTTTTCAGTTTATTCAATAGAAAACAACTACTTTCCTGGTTTTAGTTGTATTATAGAGAGATGAAAATTGTGTATATCATGAAGAATGGCTGTAAGAATAAGTGGACATCATGGTTACTGATGAGGATTCAGAAATCCGAAATGGTTTCATTGCAATAAAGTCATATAACCTGTGTGTGAGAGATAATATTTCCAAAATCACTGATATAAATGATTATTTTTGAAAGTTTTCAAGCTCATCAAGATCAGAGTTTATGCCAGTATACTTCTCCTATACATTCCAATTTCCATTTCAATGCTGAATATCTTGGTAAGTTATATTTCTATATCATTATACATCATAATATTCATCCGATTTGAAGAAGAATGTCAATTCTCAATGTCGGAGGATTTTATTTTTTATTTTTCATGTTCTCCTTTTGAATGTTCATCAGATATAATTCAATGTTCGACGTGGCAAATAGCCAGGAAAGTATTTGTTTTCTGTTGAGTATTCAGAATGATGTGTGCATATACATATTTTTGTCTGAAGGAGAATGCAAATTCTCAATTTCAGAAGTTTTTTATATTTTATTTTCGAACTCTCATCGTGTGTGTTCAATGGATATAATTCAATGTTCGTCGTGGCATATAGCCAGGAAAGTAGTTGTTTTCTATTGAATAAACCGAAAAAGAGTAGATATTCTCATCACATAGAGAATGCGAATTCTCAATGTATTGCTTCATATTAATATATATCCATTTTTGTATGTCCATAATTTATCTGAGAATATTCCTTTTTTATAACACGGATGCTAGTTAAATGAAAGTATTATAAAAGACTGTTACCTATATTCATCGATAACCAAAACCAAGGAGATTATTCTAATGTGGGAGTATCATCAATTGAACAGAGAGTCATGATGAAAAAAATCTAATAAATTCAACGAAAACATGTAATATTCAATCAGTGAGTGTTCCAAATGCATGATGGAGCTCCCCACATTTTGATAGAAGGTGTCGTGATTGGTTGAGCAACCATTATACGAATCGATGGATTGGTAGAGGTGCAGAAGCTCCGATTCATTGGCCTCCACGTTCATGTGATTTCAATCCATTGGACTACACAGTTTGGTCCTATATTGAGAAAAAAGTCTATGCTACAGAGGTGAATTCACGTCAAGAGCTGCAAGAAAGAATTGAACATCACTTCGATGATCTCATAGCTGATCCTCAACTATTGAGAAGATTGATGCATTCTTTAGAAAAAAGGATCTAATTGTGTAATCGTGGAAACGGAGGACATTTTAAACACTTACTCGAACTAGATGAAGTTTTTAGTCAAATTCAACTAAATATATTCTGATGCGGTTTTGTTCAAAAGATTACTTCGGCAGTAAAATAATGTTTATGTTTTTTGTCCTTAATAAATAGATAATTGTTTTTTATAATACTTATTCTGATACCAGAATCAGAGTTATTGATTTACCATTTTCAAATCGAAATATTTCGGAAAACGTATACAGTATCGAGTTTTTCCAAGAGCATCAGTTTGGTGTAGAATTGAATGGTGTTCAAGTTCACATTGAATTTGGGCTGAAAAATCTAACCTCAAAGAAGTTATGTTCAAAAGTACTCGGTACGAACCGTGTGACTAGCGCCCTCTATGAGTGTCAGATATAAAAACATATTCATGCAGTGTGTCAGCTTTCAGTACACATCGATACAAAATTTCATCACAATTTTGCTAGTATTTTCGACATAATCGTAAAAATTGTGTGAAATAAATATTTTTTCAACACCCTGTGTCATGAAAACGGATGCCGACACGACTTTTTTTCACTGAGCAAACCCAACTCATTTTGCCCCCCTAGAAAGGGGGTAGGTTTTTTTGAAACACCCTGTATATGTTATCGGACAAAACCAATTTTAGGAAAAACTAATTTTTCCTAGGCTAACTCAGTATATCCGAAGACCGATAGGATGACCTAGTTTGTTAATATTTTGTGAGGAAGGAACATACACCTCTATGAGAATATCATTCGGAAACGTAGTCATTGAATTTTTTAATCTATGGTAGAAGTCCATGGTATCCCAAAGTGGAGTGAATAAATTCATAAGCAAGACACACTATGTCATCCCACAAATTCATTATCTGAATTATCAGTGTCTGACGATGTTTCGGTCTATCAATAGTCCATCATCAGCAGAGGCATATTTTTAAAAGACAATTTCTACGAAGAAAAGTTTTGTATAGTTATAAAAAGTAAGGTTATGTACAGTGTGTCCAGTTTTCGATGCTTTTGCATGATATCTCAGTTATCTTTGGAGATAGAACCTTGCGGTTCTCGCGGTCCTGTGCCACTTTTTTGTGAAACTCAAGATGACTTAATCAGATTTTGCAAGACTGTTTCCGTTTATGAGATACACGGCGATTTTGAAAATTTATACTTTTTGGACCCCCTCTATATCTACGAAGTTTCTCAACAAAAATGTCAAATCAAAATCTTATCGCATAGAAAATTTTACGTAGAAGCCATGGACGCATCTTATTTTATCCAAAGGGGGTCCAAAAAGTATAAATTTTCAAAATCGCCCTGTATCTCATAAACGGAAACAGTCTTGCAAAATCTGATTAAGTCATCTTGAGTTTCACAAAAAAGTGGCACAGGATCGCGAAAATCGCAAGGTTCTATCTCCAAAGATAACTGAGATATCATGCAAAAGCATCGAAAACTGGACACACTGTACTCACGTGGAAGTGAAAAGAGGAGGCAACAATAATATTATTCAATTGAATTTACATTGTTTCAATTAATGAAGGGCAAAGGGCCAATAGCCCAAAGGACTTTATGGAGGTTACCAACACTTGTTCATCCAAGTAATTGGAGTTTGAATGGGGCCCATCATAAGAATCATGGTTAACATGACGTGGTAGAGGGGGGAGGGTTAACTTGACATGGGATGCGTGAAGTATGTTTCAATAAATGACAATAAGTAACACAAAACTATCCTGTGGCATGAACAAAGAATATCAGGCGAGATGCGTCTTGAGTCGTCAACAATTTCCCCTGTTTCATAAAATAAACTTTCGGTACAGATATGTAGATGATTGTCTGGTCCTTTTCGATGGTACAGTACAAGAGGTAAATTTGCTCTTGGAATTTTCGAACTCACTTCACTCTGCCATTAACTTCACGATGGAATTAGCTATCAATAACTCTCTCCCTTTCTTGGACTTGTCAGTTGACATTGTGAATGACAGGTTTGAGTTCTCCATCTACCGCTAACCCAATCAACTCTTGCCATCCTATTTCTCATAAACAAGTAGCCTTCAATTCTCTAATCCACAGATTATTTCAT